TATGGGGCGGTATATAAGTCCAATAAATAAAAAAATGAATAAATAAATGAATAAATAAATAATAAATAAATAAATAAATAAATAATAAGTCCTCCAAAACAGAAGCAAGAGTGCCTGCTTCCCCCGACTATCCCCATCCCCATCGTCCTCTGAGAGCACCACGTGACAATACTCCCAGACTAGCACACCTGGATTCTCCCAGACCAGCACCACACGGTTTTCCTAGGCCAGGAGTAAATGGGGCCACTTAACTCTACATGCTGCCCTGCTTTCTGCAGAACATTCCAGATCCCCGCTGGGGATAGTTTCTCCACTGCTCTTTATGATATTCACATGGTGTGCTGCAACGTGTCCAACACTGTCGCCCACAGGGGCTTAAATTCGAAACGTCTGTCCTCCAGCACCCTCCACAACCCTCTCCAGAGGCATCACCCTAGTTTATTTTCTCCCAAAGGGTGTTTGTCAATGTCTGGGTGGGGAAGAAAAGACAGACACTGGGGGAGAAGTGGGGAAGGAAAAAGAATCACCACCAGTCAAAAAGAGAGCCACGAGGTGTGTGGCATGTGACCGTCAGAGGCAGGCCATGCTGCAGGAGGTTGTTCTCATGGGGGCTTTAGTGACCTTGAGCAGAAGGTCCAGCTAGAAGGAAGGCACAGGAGGTGGGCACTCATCTTTGTCGCCAAGATCATTGCTCTGCTAGGGCTTTCTCTGGGTTCCATGACAACTGCAGCCTTCCGCCATGTGCTTCATTTCTTCCCCCCTGGGATGCTCCCCATGTCAAGAAGAACCATCAGCCAGTGAATCCTGTCCTCCACGTACGGCACTGTGCCAGGGGTTGGTCCAAGCCCAGCTTTCACAGACCAAGTAATTCATGCATCTGTTTTAGAAAACATAATATCCATTGTTTAAATATTTGTTCCAGCAATCTGTTTAAATATTTGTTCCAGCAATTTTCAAACTACAAAGACAATTGTTTTTAATGAAAAGTTTTATGAGATAGAAATTCAGGTAAAGCAAGATCTTCCCCACGCCCTTAAAGTGTAAAACTCCAATTTACATAAAATCATATTTTTACAAAAACAAACTAAATTATATTAACTAAGAAATGCAGTCAAAAGGATGGTCAGCCTGCAATTGCAGGTTACTGGAGAGAAAGGAATGATAGGTGTACTGGAAATGTCAAGTAGCCAAACCTTTCCCCCATGCTCATAGAGTGTAGAGGTAACATCATGCAGGAAATTGGTAGTTTAAGGCTTAGTAACTTCAGCAATTTACTTTGCAGTAGGAACATAATTTCACAGTAATATATATTGTGTGGCTCCTTCTTTACATCTATTCAGGCACAGTTTTCATGTTTGAGGGGGCCCATAACTAAATGCCCTTCTTAACTTCTAGAGTTTGATCTATCGAACCCTCCCATTCCTTCAGCTAGCATTGATAAGACCAGACTAGCTGGGGTTTTCTGGAAGCTGCAGCCCCTCCCTGTAACATCTCCAAACTCTGGCCCCTTCCAGTGTTGTCCAGCTTCAGCAGGCTTACCTGACAATGGAAGCCAGCAGCACATTTGAATTAGTGGTCTACAAGCTGAAACTGGTATCTTAAATTTCTAACAACATAGCACTGCTACTGGGCATTTTGGGGAATTTAGAACAGTGGTTTTAAGTTGCTGAGAGATGGTGGTGTTTCTGATAGGCCACTGGACTCTAGATGGGTGTCCAGAAATGTCATGGTCTGACTCTGGGCACTGTTCTAATTTTGCTGTAATAAGGAAATTATTATCTGAGTACAACAGTGTGATTAGCTACAAACAACACTAGAGATATCAGCCACATTCTTCTGTGTTTCCCATTTTGCTCTCCTATGGCTATCCCTCTGCATGTGCTTATAAGTGTGTAGGAGGGAGTTTCTGGAGAAAATGAAGAAAGCACAAGGGACTGCTGCTTAGCAACCATTTTGTATTTCCCTTTTGGATGATGAAGAAATTGCTTCTGGATGATACAAAAAATGAAAGGAAAGCATGCCTATGCATAACCTTCAATTCACCTTTTCCATCTACAGAAAGATAATACAAATATGGGCATGAAAGGGAAGACAGATGAACAGAACAGATGGTTGGTTGACCAGCTGGGGAAGGTCTCTCGTCCAAATTTTATAGGCAAGCAACTGACCACTGATGGATGAACTGCTCTATGTTGCATTACACTATTATAAAATGCCGCCTATATGTTTTTCTCTGTGTTTTTGTTTTTGTAGTAAGGACCACATGCTAGTGCTATGAAAAATCAGCACACACTCTGAAAATACAGGGACATAACAGCAGCAGTTTTGAGAAATCTGTTCAGTTTTGAGGGGTCTCGAGCCAGGAAGATAGGTGATATATGAAGGCTCATTAGTTAATATGTAGAAGGGAGGACCTCAGATCAGAATGCCAGTAGGGGATTGTAACTTCAGCAGGTCAAGGGAGGGCGAAGGAGTACTCCACCCTACTACTTTCTGTATCATAATGTCAACTAAATGTGGAGAATAGCATATTTGAAAGCACTTTGTCAAAGATGTCCTATTATACCTGTGGATGTTTTGGGGTGGGTGGGGCAGTGGTCAGCACCTTTTTGCTTTTGATTAGGGCTAGGAGATTCTGGGACCTGTAGACAAAAACAAAACAAAACAAAACAAAAAATTCTGAGTTCTGGGGAAAAAAGCTTTTCTGAATGTTTCGGAACTTCCACATTGATTGCTAGTTTGTTTTTAGAAACAATATAAGGTGCTATGTTCAACCTTGGGGCTGTGGACCCCAGCTCCATTGAGTGTATAGCCTGTTGAACTTAACTGCCCTTCTGAGTAGATGTATCACCATCATAATCACCTGCACAATCAAACTGCAGAGCTGGAAGGGACTCTATGGATCATCAAGTCCAGCCCCTGTCAAGGAGGCATAATGGGGAATTGAACTCCCAGCCTCTGGTTCTGCAGCCAGATGCCTAAACCACTGATATCCAGCAGTTCTCTAAGATACTGTACACACGCCTTTAGTAATTTTGGTTTTACCACAAGATGTTGCCCCCTCCCCATTCCAGTGAGACCCTTCTTGGGATTCCTTCATTTTAAAAAATCCCAGAATACAGCAGGACCTATTTTCCAAGACAGCTGGATTAATATGCTCAGATTTAGAAAGCTGTCTAAAGCTTCTTCTTCTTTTTTATCATTATGGTTTTGAGGCTGGAGATTTAAAATAATTTAATTTGTTATTGTTATGTGCCACCAACTGCATCTGACGTAAATGAACTCTATTACAATTTTCAAGGTAAGTGAAATATTTAAGGAGTGGTTTTACCAGTGCCACCTCCTTAAGAGTTTCCATGGCCAGTCAAAGATCCTGAGTCCCAGTCCATCACAAAATATAGATCCAAAAAATACAGAGATTGTAGTTGGTTGGGTACTATATTTTGGTGTCTGTATTTTGATACCATGTATAAATATTTGCCGTGCTAAATCTCTTTCTCTTGAGTCCGATGAAGTGGGCTTGTGCACAAAAACGCACACTAAAAAAATATAAAAGTTATTCTTGTCTTTTGGAATTTTACCACATGTGAGGGGGAAAATGTTGTTGCTGCTTTGTAAACTTACCATTTTTCTGTTGAGGGTAAAAATAGTTCCAGTAGGTGGAACACAAAAAATGTTTAATTATGAGCATTTCCAGAAGACCAGACAAAGGATTTCTAATGCTACTAATCAATAGATACTGTACCTATTTTATCTTTTCCTTCTGAATGACCTTCAGTTCCGCCCCCCCCCCGCCCCGGTCCTCTGAAAGAACAAGGACAAAAGAAACATTTGAGAAACACACTGGAGGAGTACAGGTTGAAAATGACTTCTTTTGGTTATGCTTCCAGTAAACATTTGTGCACGAGGCAAGGTGAGTGCAGGGCAATTAAGCTCTCCTCTGGGAGTATGAGAAAAGCTGCACCTTTATCTTTTGGCTAGTAACATATCTCCCATCAATCTAGAAGCACCTGGTTGTGTCTTCCTCATGGCCCATGCAGACTTTGAGACAGTTAACCTCCCCATACATATGCCTATAGAGTAGTTTTAAAATGGTATGGTCCCTTCAGGCCTCTTCTGTAGTGCTCCCTTAATGGCTGGACCATCCCATACAAATTTGTGTGTGGGGGGAGTTAACAAAAGAAGGGAATATTTATCTAGTAAGCTGCATCCTGCGCATCTTTCCTGGAAAGAAAGTCCTATAAACTTCAAAGGGCTCACTGGCAACAAGCTCCGGACCAAAGCAGAGCCCTCCTGGAATTTGGAGGTGAGCCCCCTCGCCACCAGGTCGACCAGCTGCCCTTGCTGCCAGAAGCAGCCCAACAGAGGGCGGCCCTCTATGCGACAATGAGGTGAGTCCAGCCCAGCAGCTGGGGCGGCCTCCCTCGAGCCCCACGCAGCCGCCCAGGAGCTGAAAGACTGCGCCAGCTATGCAGGGGAGCCAAGAAAGGGGTCGGCAGCCGCTCTCTTGAGGCCTGCAGCTCCTCTCGAAAAGAGAAGAGGGCGCCAAGGGGCGAGAGGCTGTGAGGGCGCGGAAGCCAAAGCGAAAAGGGAGGTCTCCTCCTGCCCTTGGCCGCTGAGGAGGCACCAGAAAAGCGAGCGACCACCCATCAATCCCCCCCCGCCGCCGCCCCCCAGCTTTGCCCTCGCGCCAGGTTACAGCAGCTCCTCCGGGGAACGGCGGCGGGAGGAGGAGGAGCCCGCCAGTGTCGCCGCACCCGCAGTAACCCTGGGCGCGTTGCTAGCAGGCGGCAGGGCAGCTTTCTGCCTGACTCGGGAAGGGGAGGAAGGAAAG